CACACACACACACACACACACACACACACACACACACACACACACACTCCAGAAAGAATCTTAGTATCTATTTTTCATAGTATCTATTTTTCATAGTATGTTATTTTATTTGTGCTTTAGCAATAGAAGGTGAGCCAGGTATGGTGGGATGTGCTTTTAATCTCAGCAGACTGACAGCAGAGGCAGGCAGGTGTCTGAGTTTGAGGTTAGTCCTGTTTACAAGTTCAGACCAGCTGGAGTTACACGGTAAGACCTTTTCTTGGGGTGGAGAGAGGTGTGGTGTGGATTACCTTAGTTCCATCTTACTGTTCTGTTTTGCCTTGCTTTAATTTCCTGAGCCCTTCCCCTGACCACTTTTGTATAGAACAATGACACTTGAAGCATTTTTTTTAAAAAAAGAATCAGCCTTGAGCTATTTCAGATAACTTTTCTAACTTCTGAGATCATGATTTTATTTATTTTACTGTCTTCATTTCATTCTAAATTCCTTTGTGTTCCCTCAGTTTTCTTAGTGTCTTTTCATTCAAGAGACACTTTTGGTCCATCACTTCATTTTATTATCTTTCTCTGTGCTTTTGTGGCACTCCAGCAATTCATTCTTGGTCACTTGTATTTGGAAAACGACGTTTATTATTGACCTTGGGCACCCCAGGTCTGAATATGCTACTCAGCATTCAGTACTAATTCACTGAAAGGGTGTTAAAATTGAAATAATAAAGCACAAATTTCCCATGTATCCATTTAGTGTTAGCATATTCTGTTGTGTAATCTGCCATTTTATGCCCTGTAACTTGAAGCTTTGTAGGAAGAGACATATTTTAATTAAAATTAAATTTATGTTTCAGCCTGTGTTGAGTTTATGTGGATAGCTGTTGCCTGGCTTTTTCATGGGAGACAAGAGCAAATGTCTATTCAACCAATTAAGACTCTGGCAATAGATCAAATATATAATTCAACCCAGTTATAGCCTTACCACACTTGTGAGCTTATTATTTTATTATAGGGGTTACTTAACAAAGCAGGGTGCATCCTCATTGAAAAATCCAACCTCAGTGCAGGGAACAACTCACTAAAGTCACAACTTAAAGCAAACCCCATCTTTCCAGCAGCTGTTTACTTGGATTAGGATTCTCATGAATCTTAGAAATTTTTTGAATTTTATGAGCCTTTTTCCTTCTTTTAGGGTAATGTTTCAAGCTCTAGTAACAGTGATGCAATAGAAAAACACAGCTCCCAGCGGATTGTGTCATACTGTGTGATTTTACTCACCATTGGATGATACACTTCACTATTTTACAAGACAGTCACACAGATTATTTTTGTTATCTTCTATCTATCTTATCTATCTATCTATCTATCTATCTATCTATCTATCTATCTATCTAT